ATCTATCTATCTATCTATCTATCTATCTATCTATCTATCTATCTATCTATCTATCTATCTATCTATCTATCTATCTATCTATATCTATATCTATATCTATATCTATATATCTATATCTCTATATATCTATATCTCTATATCTCTATATCTCTATATCTCTATATATCTATATATCTATATATCTATATATCTATCTATATCTATATCTATATATATATCTATATATATATCTATATATATATATCTATATATATATATATATATATATATATATATATATATATATATATATATATATATATATATACAGGGTGTATAAAAAAAAAGGTAATCGAACTTCAGCGCGCTATTATACGTGAATTACTTGGCGTATGAACAATTGGTTTTCATATTCGGAAAGATCAGGCTTTTAGCTATTGAATGACATGCATTTCATGACAAGTGGAGAAAAAATAAGAATGTACGAGGCCGATTAAAAATGTTAGTCAAAATCGAATATTTTCACCTCTGTGCCTAATTAAAACAATGCATAACAAAAGAAAAAAGCAATTAATCACGAACGTGTCGTAGATTTATTCCGACTTAATAATTTTTATGAATATGCATGTGTGCAGTTTAATGCAGTGAAATTAATCAACTTAAGTCCTAAAGGGGGTTAATTTTCAATGGTTTTAGACCCAACTCTCAACGGTGAAAATATGCGATTCTGACTAACATTTTTTATCGGATTCGTATTTGCTCATTTTTTATCCATTTGGCATGAAGAAGATATCATTCAACAGCTAAAAGCATGATCTTATATCATATATATAACTTCAGCGCGCTATCGGTTCCAGTACCAGGGAAAAGTTTCAACCGTAGAAATAACTTAATTTATATTAGTGGCCACCAAACCAAAAAAACGCCCTTACTCTCTTCTCTACCGAATTTATTTGTTTCTAATTCAAGATCGCTGATCAGCAAGATTGACGAACTGTCTGCTACAGTAAAATCCTATACATCAGACATTGTCGTTGTTACCGAAACGTGGCTTTCTTCAAATGTTCCTAATTCAGCAATAGATTTATGCGGTTATTCCTTACTGAGGCATGATCGTTCCGACGGCAGACGAGGAGGTGGAGTCTGTGTCTTTGTAAAGGACATGCTTCCGTTCATTCATTCATCTTAAAGAGATTGAAAGTCACGAATATGAGTCGCTTTGGTTACTCTTAAAACCTCACCGCTTGCCTCGTGGTTTAAATTCAATTGTATTGGGAATCGTGTACCATCCACCTGGAAGTGACGATAAAGCCCTTCTTTCACACATTACCGAATCAATCGATTCTGTCCTTTCCACCAATCCCGGTGCAGGAATTATTTTGGCCGGAGATTTTAACCAATTTAAACATCGCCAGTTATGCAGTTCCTTTAACCTCAAGCAGTTAGTCAAAGACGCTACTAGAGGAAAGAATATTTTAGATAAAATATTTACCAACATTTCTAAATTTTATAATTCTGCCCTGGTAATTTCTCCAATTGGACATTCCGATCATAATTCCATCGTTCTTAAACCTCTTCCAGCTAACTCTTATGGTGGCACAAGGTCTACACGTTTAGTACGAGACTCTCGCCCAACCAATCGTCGAATTGTTAGCGATCATCTGTCGAAAGTTAATTGGTTACCTTTGCACCATATGGAATCTTGTGACGAGCAGTTCCAGTATTTTTCCACCATCGTTGATAATATCATAAACAAACATTTGCCTTGGAAACAAATCAAAATTGATTCTAGTGACAAGCCCTGGATTACTTCCGAAATAAAATCTCTCATTTCCAAGCGGCAGACAGCATGGGCGGCTGGCAATAACCTGATGTTCAGATTCTATCGAAACAAAGTCAATGCACTTTGCAAAAAGGCACGACTAAATTACTACAATAAAAGTATCGCGGGCGTTCAACAGTCCGATTCTCGTAAATGGTGGTCAGCGGTGAAGAATATTGCCGGTCTTCAGTCTTCTAAGAATGTATCTACAATGATGTTCCAAGGTAAATCCTACTCTGATGCCGATTTAGCAAATTTGCTCAACGACAAGTTCGTTGCTGTAAGGTCCTCCTTACCCCAATCTAAACTGGCTCCCCTTTCCCACAAATGACATTCCAGATGATTTGTGCATCTCTGTCGAGGAGACTAAAAAGGCCCTATTATCATCTAAACTTCATTCATCTGCTGGTCCCGATGAAATTCCTTCTTGGCTTCTCCGGGAAAACGCTTCAGTGTTGTGTCGACCTTTGTGTTCTATTTTTAATTCATCAGTTCGTGAAGGATTTGTTCCCTCAATATGGAAGGCAGCAAATATTACACCAGTTCAAAAATCTTCGCCTCCTAAAGATGTTGATTCTGACTTCAGACCAATCTCCCTCACACCAATTATCAGCAAGATTCTTGAATCCTTTCCCTACAAATGGCTACTTGACTCCGTCTCAAAAAAATTGATTCCTTGCAATTTGGTTCGCTGAAGGGTTCAAGCACTAGTATGGCATTAATCTACATGCTACATAAATGGTTTGAAGCAGCTGACAAACAAGGCAACACTATACGGATTTGTTTACTTGATTTTTCCAAGGCGTTTGACAGATTAGATCATAACATTCTGTTGGAAAAATTGAAAGACATGGAAATTCATCCCGTGTTACTCAACTGGATCGCAAACTTCCTAACAGGCAGACAACAAAGAACCCAAAGATCACTTATTTGAGTAACTTGGATGTTTTTGTTCCGAAAAAGTGAAGTTGTTTTAGTGAAATTTGCGACGTCGAAATAAAGTTTAATAGACTTTTTAAATTCTTTAAACGTTCTATACTAATTTAAGACTAAGTCCGTTCCATAGACTAACAGCTTGAAAGGAGATGGGTTTCTTAGGAACGTCCGTGTTCGGTTGAGGAAATTCTAAATCATTTTATTTCTAAGTTGGTAGCGGTGAACATTTTTCGAAAAGATTGACTGCAAAGTTGGAGGAGATAATTCATTAAAATTCTAAAACATTCTATCCCATGCATCTAACAACTACAGTTCGACTTAATTGAGTTCGACGCTTGAATCAACCTTCGAATTATGCCGAACTTAATGTGTATTAGGTTCGGCACATTCTTTATATGTATGTCAGTAGTGTCACGCCGTGTGGTGGGTAATGACAGGATAATATGATTGGGTATTTCTAACACTATGATCATATTGCCATGCACGGTAGTGAAAAGGATCAATCTCTAAGTTCATACATTATCGGCTAAAGGGGCTTGCATTTATGTATTTCTAGTATACTCTTCATAAAATAAGTGCGGCAGCGCAATAAATGTATAATATCATCATATCAAAAGTGCCTGCCGCACCAATGAGTGCCGTGCCATGCACGCTGAAGAAAACGGGTCGAAAACGAATTTATTACAACATGCATATAACTGTTGCAGTTCATTAAATATATACTATTTTATTATATAGTAGAGAGTGAGATACTGAAAATACACAGTGATATATTTTCCACATTTTCACTATAGTGAAGATATCGATCACGTGGTCGACAATTTGCTTTTGAGCGTGAAATTTCACAATTTTTTGCTTGGGACAATATAATAAACAGAACATTACACGGTGGCTTGAAGATATGACTTTTATCTTCTCGTGTTAAAAACAATATTTTACTCACTCGCTGCGCTCGTTCGTAAAATATTGTTTTCACCACTCAAAGATGAAAGTCCTACATATCTTCGCGCCGCCATGTAATATCCTCTATATATATCGTTTCCTCTGCCATTCTATTTCAGGATCATCGTTAAACCTGAAAACTCAAAACTTGAACTCAATGTTAAAACGAGTTTTCAAACTCACTTATTTGAGTAACTTGGATGTTTTTGTTCCGAAAAAGTGAAGTTGTTTTAGTGAAATTTGCGACGTCGAAATAAAGTTTTCCTAAAATTCGCCAAAGTTACAACAAAGATGATGCATTCATTCATTTCATAACACATACATAACATGAAAAAAACACGTTCACACCTATATCTTTCATTCCAAATCGAGCAATTTCGATTTTTTTTTACGAAAACGTGAAGCTTTTATCGTGGCACTTCGGAAGGGTTCGCTTCCTCAATTCTCGCTTGCATGTTTCCACAATTAAATATACTGTATAAACAAACGACAAAACCAAACAAAAAACCCTGATAAAACCCTTTAGAGAAATAAGAGGATGCTTACAAGTACCATTATATAGATAAGTTCGTAAAACTTACACAATGGATCATGTCATCCTGGCGAATAAAAACTCTTCCTGACGATGACAATGGCTAAAATTAATAGAATATAACGTTAACGTAATATAAAACAAAAATCCATCCAATATTTTACTTCTATTATATTTTCAAACGCTTGCAGATTGTTTTGAACATTCTTAGGTAAATATCAGAATTTTTTAGGCATCCCATTCAACAGAACTATAAACTAAATGCTTTTCGTAGATGGATAAAACACGCACTGCGAATGTTTTAAATTGCTTCAAAAACGATCGATCTACATGTAGTAAATTCCTTGGCGTAATAATTTTCAAAAGACACGTTGTGTAAGTCGAGAAAAGTTAAAGTTTATGTAATTGATGGAAAATCTCTATCACATATAAAGATACGACAAGCTTATGATTTTTCTTTGTGTTTTCCTCATGAATTATTTATAATGATCATGAGTTTTCGAAATTACATTTTTAGACCTGATCAGGAGCAGCTGCGAACAATGTAATTATATAGCGGCCTTCTGGCAGGAATCGAAGCTGGGCTATGTTATTCAGGTGCAGCCCTCTAACCAAATGAGCCATGCAGCTGCCGAGCTCTAACCACAAGTTCATGTATATACAGTACTATGGGGTGACACCGGAGTCGCAGGGCCGCATATGTAGCATTAAGTCCGGCAGAAATCAACCTTCCTCCCTACGAACTTGCGAGTGCTTCAATTTTAAAGTACAACTGTTGACCTAAACAAATTAAAGCTTGCCTCTGGCTGTAAGCAGTCTGCTGTAAAAGTCAATCTTAAGGTCTCGTGTATATTCTAATAAATGACCTAATATTACTAATATCAAAAGATTAATATTACTATATCAAAAGATTAATATTATTATTAATATTACATTTTATAATATAGCATTTGTAAATTCTGATTGGCTAAGAGCCGTGTTGAAATAACTCAATGTCAACACGGGAAATTTTCCGCCGCTTGTATACACGGAAATTTTTCTTATACTTCGGGCTTTTGACATTGCTATATTATAAAAAAAATATAAAACTTTTTTCCGTATTGATATATAGTTATATCAACACTCGTGGAATTTGAGAAAACTCGAAATTGTATGAAAACACTCCGCCCTTCGGGCGTCGTGTTTCCATACAATTTCTCGTTTTCCCAATTCCACTTGTGTTGATATAACTGTATATCAACACGGAAAATGTTTTATATTTGTTAAATATCAAAAGAACGACGCGGTTCTGATTTCATTTGTATTTTGCCATAAATGTTTAACGAATTTGATAATTAACGAAACAAAACCATGTAACTATTAAAAATGCAACCAACCTTGTTCAACTGACTGATTTGCGTGTCAAGGTATTTCAGTTGACTCTTCATTTCACCTTCCTTACGTCGCGAATTAATTAGTTCTGCCAGACACTCTAACTGCGTCAGTGCGAGCTGCAGTGGTACTCGGTCCACGTGACTCACTGGTGTCACTTCCAAAAGATCCTGAAGAAATAAAAGACTGTATATGCCAGACTCTGTCACAACATACCGTTGTTTCAATAGGAAATGTTAGTGGCACTAATCATTTATTTAGTATTAAATTTCGGAAGTCTATTCTGAAACATGTTTATCAGGCGCAGGGCGAGATTAATCAAGCTTTTTATTTGTACCGCATTGGTACTGCAATGGCGAACTTAACCTGAAGGCTTAATCAAGTACAAGGACATGACAAGAAACAGCTTTAAATTTACACTTTTAGTTGTAACGACAAAAACTATGAACTACTGTTATTAGACTTAGGAACCTTGTATAAGAACATGTAGGTTTCGTACATGTGAGGAAGAGTCAAGTACAAGGACTTTTCAAGGACATTCAAGGCCATGATGCATGTATCAGCAAATTCAAGAACTAAATACTGAAGAAAAGGGGTTGGTGATCAGTAAAATCTGACGTTGAATTGTTCAAAAGGCAACTTTAATGAGTTTCAAACAGCTTTGTCAGATATGCATATGCAAAATCAATTCAACAAAATGTCCGTTTTGAATGTCAAACAATTACAGAAAATATCCAAAAACTATAAAAGCAAGAAAAATGTAAGGACTTTCATGCAAGTATTTCTTTACAAATTCCAAGGACATTCGAGACCTTGAATATTTTTTTTCAAATTTTAGGACATTCGAGGACTTTCAAGTTTTGTACGAACCCTGTAAGGAAGCAAGACGAAAATGCTATTAATACAATGAAATTCATAATATTGTAGGAAATAAATAATGAAAATCTCGCGGAATTTTAGACGTCATTCTCGCTCTGTTTGCAACGGCAAATCACAGATCGTCACGTCTTATAATTTGATAGAGATAAACTGATAAAGCTATATTCATGCAGTACAAATAAAGTTAACCTAATTCTTTACATTACAGAAGTAGTCTTACCTGGACCAGTATGATAAACTCTGGGAATCTTTCGAAAGGCTTGAGCATCAGATCATGGAAAGTTGTTTTAGGCTTTACAACATTTATTTTTGCCTAAAATTGAAGACAAATTATCACTGTACAATAATTCAGACTCAGATCATTCATACGAAATTTCTGTACAATAATTCAGAAATTACAGTGAGACAGTGTACTGCCCATTAAAACAGGCTTTATGATCGTGGTCTCTCAGATCCTGTTCACAGGCTAATGACTCTGAAATTTGTGACGTAATTTGTGAGTATAATTTCACATTTTAGCAGTAATTGGCATATGAATGTAGTCGAAGTCGAATGCGAAATAACTGATTTACTCACTCAATGAAATGACAACTTAATAAAAGTTTACAACAGCTGAATTACATTTTCACAGTACTACGATAAAATTGCATTGTTCTTAGCCAATCAGAATTCATGAGTAATTTTTCCATGTATATTATTAATTTGGGAATCTACAACGCCAAGAAGAAGAAAATAAAACCGATGAGACTTAAGTCAATACAGAATAAGAGAGTTTTATTAAAAACAAAATCATGGAGATAATAGGAGATTAGAGAGATAAACCGCTGAGGAAAGGAATGGCGCAATACTCCTGTGAAATGCAACCTTACGCCATTAGTCTTTACGTCTTTAATGAGATACTCCTATAACAGTTAACACCACACAATACTGACCTGAACGTATTGAGAAAACACGCTGTTGTTTTTACATACAGCTCTGAAGGTATCTATGGCTTCAAGAAAGTTGTTCACAAAGTCCGTGTAAGCCATAGTCGTTGTAGACTTTGAAAACTGAAAGAGAAGATACACAAATTATAGCATGGTCATTTAGTTGGAAATTGTTTCTGCAACATCATTAAGTTCAGTGTTCAGCATCACATTCATAAAGAAACTAGGAAGCTATATATTAGGCAAGCGATACACATATCCACCATTTCTGTTTTGAGCGTATATCGTCAAACAGAACATTTGGCTTCAACAGTACGGCTGCACTGTTTGCAACCTGTTTGCACGAGGCAAAATTTTTCGGCGCAAAACGAATCGAACAATAAAATCAGTTTAGCCTGTTACAGTATAATTTGGTTATAGCGACAGAATTCTCCGTTTAACCTTGCAAGTCAGGCTACCTACTTCTACGACGCGAAATATAGAGAGCCAGGCTTGCGACGTTGCTCCAAAAATGGATTACCTTTTTTCATACACTGTCTTTGCCAGTGTAGGTAGTGCCAATAAAATGAACAAGCTTTCGTTGGTATAGGGCTGCAACTACCTGAAAACATATGACGAAGGGCTTTCGCTCGAAACGTCGAAATTCTCCTTATGTATTTTCAGGTAGTTGCATTCCTACCAACGAAAGCTTGTTCTTTTTTCATACACCCTGCATGTATTACAGATACCAAAATGCATATTTGCATGAGGTTAGTTGCACTTTCACTACATTACACCCGTTTTCAAAATTACGCGACCTCCCTGAAAAATACTCCTACTTCAGATGTCAGTTTTATGTCACAAGAACTGCTAAAAATAGCAAACGTGAACAAACTGTCTAAAGACATTTTAAACCGTATTTAATACCAAAACTGAACAAAAATGAGTCAGATAACTTAGATATACAAACTAAAGCACAATACAAACCATCACAACATAAATATGTGGCGTGAATGACTTTTAAAGTTTGAAAAATTACAATTTATCCTGGAATATAGCTGTCAGTATAAAACACGCGCGCTAGACTATAACAGTGATGTTATGATTTTGTCGTGCTTAAATTTTACAATAATTCTCACTAAAATATCTTGAAAATCATTGTAGTCTGTTTATACAAAGCATATACATCGACAACGAACCGCAAAACTCAAAGTTTGAACTTCGTGATCGAATGACATAAAACTGACATGTCAACTCTAGCATTTTCGTCTTTGGTCGCGTAATTTTGAAAACGGGTGTAAACAAATGCATACCGAAGCACAAATGATATCTCCTAATCTTCCTTCCACTGTCCACTCATTCATGCGAGCAGCCAAGACCATACTGAACATTTCATGACTTTGTAAGATACTTTGAAGTGAACAAAACATCACGTCAAGATTTTCGTCTTCCGATAACTTGCGATCACGTAATTCCTGCTCGATCTAAAAGATATAGTACATGTATTAGACATTTGTAAGTTTCAAAATGTATAAAAAATTCACGAGTAAACAGAGTTTCTTCAAGATTGGTTTAGAAACAAACATGGGTTAGGATTAGGCCAAATAAAAAAAAAAACTTGGTTAGCGTCACCGCCCGCCTCTGAATTTTTTTTATGTAAATCTCTTCGTTTTACAGCTTAAGAGCGGATGTCCACTAAAATGGAGCAAAATCGAGAATTCGCGGACACATTCAAAATTTCGATTTTGCTCATTTTTGGTTTGCTGGAAGGCATTAGCAAGTAAACAAACGTGATATGGTTTGTTTTCCAAAAACCGTTAAAATTCCGAGAAATCCGAGAAAAACCGTTCGGCTGTCGGCGACCTCAAAAATATGCAAATTTTCAGTTGAATCAAACAAGTTCAAAAACAAGTAACGCATGCAAAGTAGGAAAAAGATGTGAAAACTATACGTTTGTAAGTCGATAGAAGAGATGTTTGAGACTTGATTTGGCATAAAATAATAATTTTAGCTATTAATTAAAACCTGACAGCTGATATTTAGAATCGTATGGTATGCACAAATAGCGAAAATTGCGATGTACCGTTGCCACGCAAAAAACATTTTAACTAAGTGTCCCAGATGTTTTCCTCACGAAACTTACGTCATTAACTAATTATATGTTCTTCTAGAACATATAAAAAAATTAGTTTGGGTTATTGTATTTAGAGTTCGTACGGAGACCGTGAATATTGGGTATTTTCGACATTATAGCGTGACTGAAATCGACAAGTGTTTGTTCCTTCCGGTGCTATTTTCTCTTTCGTTTATATTTTCATTCGGAATTTAAACCCAAAAATGCCGTTAAAAATAAAAAGGCACCCTTTATTAACAACTCGCAGCGTTTTAGCAGTTACAGCATTTTTAGGAAGTGTCTCTAAAGAAGCTAACATCAGGTGAAGCAAGTAGAACTGACACGATTGGCGATCGCGCGCCACCGTACTGTACGATTAAATTTACTCTCCTGATAGAACAATCACAATATTTTTGGTTCTGTTTATATCTCGCAAAATTAGTGCAGTTTTTAAAATTAGGAATATTTACGTGCGAACATTAACACTATTTTTATTGCTGCCAATCAAAGTCAATAAAGTACCTAAAAAATTGTTTGGCAGTGTTTTACCCGATTTCCCTGTCGTGACTGTTGTCTCTATCATCGCGTTTCTAGTAACAATGGAAATAGTGGTAAAAGAAATATTTGATAGAATCACAGGAATTCTACATTTCTCGTTTTCAGCCTGTTTCCACCCTGCTCCAAGAGTAGATCGATGTCCAGGATATATTAGGAATTGCTCAATGTTTTCCGATTTATGCCCTGTAAATCATGATTACAATTTAACAACTGAACGCATTCTGATGATTTGTTTTTAACTCTAGTATCATGGCCACAATGACCAACAACTATTGCGAAAAAGGAGCACTTTATATCCATGACGGTCAGACCTTGGCAAGATCTATTATTAGACATGCAGTATCAAACTTTCCAGATACGAAATTTACACGTTAATTACATCGCCCGATCGCTGTCTCAAGACAAACCGGCGCTTTTACCTGACAGTTTACTTTTCATCACAAAAGTGTTTAGGATTCAAGTGTGTTTAATTTTGCTTTGTAGTTTTGTTAATGGCAGAACAATATTCTGTACCTTAAATTAATTCCAGTGTACTAGTTCCTTGAAAAATTTAAAAATACTAGTACCTTAAAAAATTTCAAACTACTAGTACCTTGAAAAATTTCAAACTGCTAGTAGTTTGAAAATGAATACTTAATCAGGCCCGCTGACCCTGGGAGATTTCAAATCCTCCACCTGCTTTGAAGATAGTTTTCTTCCAGTTTCAAAACACTGATTAAACACATGGGCGTACCGGGGTGGGCGGCAGCCCCCCCCCCCCAGTTTGTTGGGCAAACAAAGTCAGTCGGGCAGTATTCGCTCCACATGCAGTCGGGCAATATTGGCTTATTATAAAAATAAATGGGACAAATTCTGTCAATTTTGTGGGAAATTCCGTCAATTTTGTGGTCAATTTTGTGATGTGTTGAAAATTTGTATGACGTTCCGAAAAGTTTTTGGACCCCTAAAATGATACACTGATTCCGCCCCCCTAATTTTTTCCTTCCGGTACGCCCATGATTAAACATTAATTTCTTTTGTTTTGGGTTTATAAATTATTAATGAGTTTAATTGAGAACACAATTTCTCTGTCTCTGAGCATGTTCATCCTAACCACATGCAAACTAACAATTAAAAAAAACTGAAAATAATTTCGAAGTCATCCTTCTTTTATAGCTTAGTGAAAATATAAATGTGCTAAGTTTTGTCTTTAGTTAAAATAAGGGGCCGATTATGTGGAGGTTTTCAGCCCGGGATGAAATTTCAGCCTGGCAAACAGGGATCAGTGAAATTTCAGACCGGGGCCCCTATAAATTCAATATAATATGAATTTTACGATTACATGGAAAAAATTTGCAAAATAAAGCCACTTAAACGATTGTTTTTTTACCCCGGGGGCTGAAATTATTTACGATTACATGGGATATTTCATCCCGGTTGACAGGGCTGAAATTCAGGCCGGGTTGAAATTTTCATCCCGGTTTATGTCACCCAGGATGAGATTTTCAGCCCTGTCAACCGGGATGAAATATCCCATGCATGTAATTGCAAATAATTATGCAACCACAGTCTTACACAAGTCAAATAGTCGACTAATTAATCGGCGTTTTAAATGCTCAAACAAGCGGAATATTGCCTTTCGTGATATCGTATGATTTCAGGCCGGGATGACATTTCATCCTGGGTTTGTTTTAATACTACAAGGAATAAATATTGCTCTGACTAAAACTCAGCGCAGGTTCAAACTGCCCATGTAATCGTGATGCTATTTCGGCTCGGTTTACCGGGCTGAAATTCAGCCCAAGCTGAAACTCTCCATGTAATCGGTATAAAATATACAGAAATTATCTCGGTCATAGCACTATCTACTTAGTCTTAAATAAAGAATGCTGTGACTGCTAAAACCATGTAAATTGATAATAATAGCCATTCTTACGGAAATGCATTTTCGGGTTTAATTCCCGATGAAAATAGCAACTATTTATGAGAAAATAGCGACCGGAACTTCCGGAAGGAACAAAACACTTGTAGATTTCAGTCACGCTATATGTCGAAAATAGCCAATATTCACGGCCTCCGTACGAACTCTAAATACAATAACCCAGACTAATTTTTTTATATGTTCTAGAAGAACATTTGATTAGTTAATGGCGTACGTTTCGTGTAGAAAAAATCTGGGGCACTTAGTTAAAATGGTTTTGGCGTGGCAACGGTAGATTGCAATTTTAGCTATGTGTGAATAACATACGATTCTAAATATCAGCTGTCTGGTTTTAATTAATAGTTAATATCATGATTTTATACTCAATCGAGTCTCAAACATCCCTTCCATCGATTTACAAACGTACAGTTTTCATATCTTTTCCAATTCTGCATGCGTTAGTTGTTTTTGAACCTGTTTGATTCAATTGAAAATTTGCATATTTTTTAGGTCGCCGACAGTTGAATCGTTTTTCTCGGATTTCTCAGAATTTTAGCGGTTTTTTGAAAAACAAACTACATCACGTTTGTTTACTTGGTAATGCCTTCCTGCAAACCAAAAATGAGCAAAATCGAAACTTTGAGCGTGACCGGCTGATGCTCGATATTAGTGGACCTTCGCTCTTAATTTCTGAGGTTGTAAACTTTAGGGATTCTTTAGAGTATTGCCAGGTGCATCCAAACTACATCCTTGACATGTTTTGTCATGATGAGGAGGAAGCAGTTTGTATGAATTGCACAACATATGGCAAGCATAAGACACATAAGGTATCTAAATTAACATGGTTCTCGGACCAGCAAGCAGATTCTATACAGCACAAAATTGATTGTACAGCTGATGTCATCGACCATTATGAGGATCTGAAATCTGCTTTGGGATCAAGAAAACATTGCCTCAAGCATAAAGTTAAATATATCCAAAATACAATAACCTCAAGATTTTCTCAAATACAATCAGAGATAAACAGCATCCTTGATGCAAAGCAAGAATCAGTGTTAAGTCAATTGGATAAGTGTTCATCTTCTCAAATTTCTTTGTTGGAAATGCAAGAAGAAGCTGCATCAAATTTTATCTGCAAACTTGACGAAAAGAGAAATTATGCTGATAATTTTCTTACTGATTCTGATGAAAGTAGTATTGCCAAAGAGAAAAATCTGCACAGTGATATGCTGGAATGCCTTAATGAAGCACAAAGCCATAAAATGTTAATAAATGATATGTATGAAGTGAGAATAGATGAATCAGATCACATTGTCAAAAGTGTAAACGAGATGGTTGATGCCTGGGTTTGTAGCATTGAAGAAACCAAACAAGATCCATCACTGGAATCTGTTTCAACAATATGGGAGAAACAAACACCTTGTTTTGGTGACAGTATGAACATTATGTTTGGTGAAGCAAGTGAAGTGGTTGTGAATAATCCATTTGAAGGAATTGATTGTAAGTTGTTGTGTGATGGTGAGTTGCAACATTGTGCAACAAACTGTTATGGAGAAACCAACTGTGATTTAGAAACAGAATCGGATATACTTCTACTGTAGACACAGAATGTGTTATGGAAGATATGGAAGTGGTATGCACATAGAGACCTTAATTTTAGTTGTTTGTATAATACTAACACAAAGTGGTAGCAGACAATATACTTGACAGGAGGCAGAAGAAGTATATAGCCACTATATAGAATTAATTTTATTGAGTTTATTCCATTTGAGGCCTTGCAAGGCCTCAAGTTATTGTTAGTTAATTTATGTTTATTATGTGGGATGTTGAAAACTGTGCTGTCGATAATTCTTAATTGAAGTTATTCGACTGTCCAATTCAAGATCACTTGATCCCGAACAACACCAAGAACCACTCTCTAGTGAACATACCTTTAACCAAAGGCAAATAAATCTTTGTTTAGAGTTTGTCTATGTAATTAATTCTCCCCAGGCCTTAAAATATCGGTCGGTCACGGACATTGTCCGACCCATTCGTGAAATTGTCCGACGTAGAGAGGAAGCCACTGGACATTCTGTCCGACCTAAGTGAAACTGAGGTTTAATGTTTGTCCGACCCGAGTGCATTGGTGTCCGACCGAACGGTAGCTTTGTCCAACGTAAATCAAAATGTACCCTAGTCCAGGACTAGAGACTCGTATGTTAAATGGTAAAATCAGAGGACTATTGAGTATTGTATAAAAAGTGAACTGGAAATGTTCAAGCGCGGGACGGCGAGAGAAATGGTGAAGTGGAAAACGGGCTTAAGTTGTCAATGTCTTGCTGCTGTTCTGGCAAGCAAGTTAATTTTGGCTTGGAAATAAGTATGAATGACACAAATTATTTAATATCTTCACAACATTTACCGTTCAGAATTAATACATTGTGCTGATATTCATTTGTGTCATTCAGACTTTCCAAGTCAAAACTGAACTGAAGGTCATCGGACATATGTCCGACGCAAACTCAACGTCATCGGACATTTTGTCAGACGGCCCTGTAAAAGATATTTTAAGGCCTGTCCCCCCAATATATTTGTCATTTATTGGGTGTGCACTAGTTAGCTCTATTCTACTGTTAAAGTCATAAATTGTATAATTAACAAAATTTACTGTTATATACTATTAGATAAAAAGGCATCATAATTGAAAAATTTACTGTATTGACATTATATATAATAAATTATTTATAATTATATTCATTCCTTTTGTTTTTAATCCATTAATGTTTCTACCCATCTGACCATGTTTATTCTAATCTTATTCAACACAATTGGATTCCAAATAGAACATTTTCTAAGCTTGGAACTCTGGAACAAACATTAAGTTTTTGCAGCATCTAGCCTGCAAGCAGTGAGCCTGGATCTGGTTCTAACCAGAACTTTTAAAAGTGGTTCTGGTACACCCCCTATCCAACGTTAATCTAAAATCAAATTTGAATGTGTATTATAACAAGCTAATGAACGTGGCCATATGAGGTCGTTAATCTTCGAGTTAAGCCCTTTTCGAGATAAGCCCCGACCACGCCCAAATCACACCCATTTTTGTCAAGGGCTTAACTCGAAGAAAGAAACACAACTTGGAAAGTTCGAGTTAAGCCCCGTGAAAAAAGAGGGGCTTAACTCGAAGTCGTAAAATTGTGCAATTTCTGTCATTAAATGTTAGTGTTGCCCCAACCCCTCTCCAATGGAATTTTGTGAGTACAAAATTGCCACTGGCACAGAGACATCGTTTCAACTGCCCATTTGAGTATAGTAACCTGCGCCACAGACTTGAAACAGGTTCTAAAGTATAGGAACCGATAAATTAGATAACGAGCTATGGGCTAATATATGACCCTTAATTGACCTTGGTGACTACGTACGATACAAAAATAAACTTAACAAAGCGTAATAGTAAAACCAAATTTTATCATGATCCAGATAGGATAAAGATGGCAGGGAGCAAAGTGGAAAAATGCAAAACTATAGAATCCCAACCTCTGGGTACGAGATTGATAGATTCCCTGTATGCATAGATACCTCGGCGACTAGTAGTGACGTATACTGTTGTACTTCCATATAGAATTTTGCACATCTTGTGTATTCATATATCAATAACTCGATTATTTCGTATATTTAGTAGTTGAGTATTTCTATATATTTTATTTGCAGCTTTAGTGTTTGTTTACGACTATCATCCTGGTGCAGACACAATTCTACAGAGACATTTCTCGGAAAGTCCCAATGGCCTAATAAACATGAAAGATGGTCACAATGGTGTACATCTGCAAGCACCACCTGGGCGGAAAATATTCTCTCCTGGTAACACAACCCCAACGCGACAACAATTTATGCCTGAGAGATTAATCTGGAACTACATAATCCAACTTTCATCAGCGTTAAGAAGTATTCATTCCATGATGATGGCGTGCAGAGTTATTGAACCATCAAAGATTCTGGTACTATCAAATTCAAGGTAACCTCGTTGGGAAGTTAACAAGCCTATTTAGAACCATGCGTTATCGCAGTAGAGACACTACAGGGGTGAGAGTTATCCTATGTCCCTACGACCTCTAATTGTTCAGGGATGGATCCAGCATGATCTGGAAGGGGGTGCTCTGCCAGCTCTGGTGCCGAGTTGTGTCGGTCATGTGTGCCGCCCGCCCATCAAGTTGCTTGACTATTACAAAGTCTTGCTTGACTACTGTATTTGAAAGAGATATCGTCTTTGGGGCCCTTTATCTTGTTACCGATGATCTAATTATATCAAGGTATTTTATATTATCTGATATAACTGTATGATTTCGTAAATGTTTCACCTGTGACAAGATAAATGGCTCTAAACTAAAAACATATCATACATTGATGGACTCTATAGCCAAGGCTGAGGGTATATTGAGAATTACGCTACGCAGGGACGGCGCTGGACCTAGTTAACCTCAAACCGTTACCCTCATCCAACGTGTTGAGCGGGTCCAAAGGAGGGCAACGAACTACATTTAAACCTTCCGTACTTGTGCAGTGAGACTTATCGGGAACGACTTGCCAGTTTGGGCCTCTTACCGCTATCTTACTGGCATGAATACTTGGATCTCGTGTTCTTTTTCAAAGCGGTGAACAGCTTGGTGGACGTGTCACATGACGTCCTCCCTGAAGTCCTGTCTCAAACCAGAACGACCAGATCCTCCAGTGGCAACCAAATCTCCTTCCGTCCGGCCGAATGCAAAACCACTACCAACCAACGCTCGTGCAACTAGAACCTGGAACTCTTTACCAACTACACTAAGATCTCCTGACATTAATATTAGGCAATTCAAAACTGATTTACAAACTTGGAAATCCTGGAAAATCAATTTTAGTCATAGAAAGTCATGGAAAATTGAAATTTTACATAACATTGACAAACTATTTTACTTATTTCAATTTACTAGTCATAACAATAATATGAATTGTTTAATTGTTATATAACGGATTTTTGCAAGAGCGAAGTGAATTTTGTTCTTTTATTATATCTGTTATCGTTAAAATATAATTAACGAATTTCAGAAATTCCAGACTTCCAGGTCATGGATTTTGAAAAAAATGGTCATGGGAAGTCATGGAAAAGTCATGGAATTTTAAATGGGAAAAGGTGTACGAACCTTGTCATTGTCTAGATGTCTATTTGTTGTTCTGTTACGTGTTTTTGGCAAAGTTTAATAAATAAATAAATAGTTGAATTGGGGTGTAAGAGATTAATTTTTAATCTGTTTCACTCTATTTTTTGCCCTGTCAAATTCATGTTTTCCCGACTACGAAAACAATTTGCCAACTGGGATTCACTGTTTTGCCGACTACCTGATGAGTGATGACTGGGGGTGTAACCCCCCCCCCGCGCCCCTGACCCTATACGACCTCGGAGAATTTCCTTTTAACATGTCAAATAGTTTACCGTTAAGCAGAATTGAGAGTTGCCCTAAGACCTAGAAGGATTTCCCTTTGATATGCACAATAGTCTGCTGTGCAATAGTCCGAATGAATTCTAAGGTGATATGGTATTTAATATTCAGTCAAGAATTAAACATCCTTTAGTCCATTGTGTTTTTCTTTCCTTTACGAATTCATTGAAATTTGGTTTTGTATTTTCAGGCGACAATCGTAATTGAAAATAATGGAATTATATGTGTAGTTGTTGAACAGAAAGCAAAGTTTAAGCTATTAATATTTCATATCTATATTTCAGGTTACGAATCAATGGATGTGGTATATTTGATGTCCTAGATACAAACAGTAGCACCACTATGGTTCAGCATTTTCAGGTGAGATGAAGAGATTGTACATTATACCGGTCACATTGTACCTCTCATTTGGGCGTTCACATTCATGTTTTAAAATTGGGTAATTCTGGGGTTTAATATTTTTTATTGCTTGTCCTACACCGCCGAGGACAGCAAGCAATTATATCACTCCTTCATCGTCCCACCACGAAGCTTGAATGTCAATATATGCATGTGTGTCGGATATCTTGCGTATACCCATAATCTGCAAAAACTCAGTGGTCAGAACGCTGGTGTTCGTTAAATCACAGACCTTTGGTTCGGTTGATTAAGTTAATATTTCACAACGCTTATGGAAACAAACAATTCTGGAAAAACAGTTTGCTAGGAAGGTGATTTTAGGGATTCATGCTCTCATTGTTCGATAACTTTACTTTCATTTAGCAAGAAGATCTTATTACGTTTGGAAGACTGATATTGATGCTCGCCTGTTACTCACTCCAGGCTGTAAACCGCGAGAATATTCAGCAGTCAATGGAGTTTATAAATCTGAAATATTCCAATGACTTGAAAAATTTAATTCTGTAAGTGTTCGTTAGAACTCAGTTTTTAATTGCATGCAATGTACTTCCATTTTAATTTGATCTATAGTTTTAAGGTTTTAGGTTAATTTTTGGGAAACAGAAAATGTTTAGAATATGTTTATTTATTGGTTAGAGAAGCATATTTGCATATTTTAGTTCTGATGACCAAGAACCTCAAAATGCTGTAGGGGTTCACCGATAGTGTTCACCGACTGGATACGTGATGTTTATATAAGATTCATGGTTTTTTATTGGTTAATTAAATAAATCATTTGAATTTATTATAAAATACGAATTATAAAATATTATAATATAAGAACACTCAAGCATCAGTATACTGTATGCATAAAAGTGAAATATGATATCAATAAAGGTAAATATGAAGTATTTCCATAAAATCGTGTGACAAGCTAGAATTTTCGGGATACCCTTACTATTATCGTCGTTGTGGAGGTGCCCTATTTTACGCGTAAACAAATGACAAACGATTCATCGTTTCAAACGACAAACGAGAATGGATGAGTAGTTAACTGGGATTTTAGAAACGTATTGTAAGAAAATTCAAGGTCTGGGTTGTGAGATCCTTCAAGAGATCTGTGACTTCGGCTTGACATAACTTGTAGAAATGTATATTAAAACATTCAAATAATTTTAGATATCTTCTGCGGCAACCACCACCAAATCACGCGAAGAGCATTAATGACGTGATGCCAATGATTGGTGCAAGGTTTTATACTCAATTAGATGCTACTCAAGTACGATGTGATGTTTTACAAGGTGAACTGGCTAAGGTAATTTATACAATTTCTATGTACTATTTAAAACACGAGAAGGAGTGTTTTATCATACGACTACAAAAGAATACTAATTAGGATGAACAATTATATAATTATACTAATTAGGATAAAGAATTATATAAAGAATACTAATGAAGATGAGTTTTATCAGATATAAAGTCACTCCACGTGACATATTATGGCTGACATGATTTGCCACAAGGTTTATGGATTTTTAATGAGTATTTTAAATATATTTTCAAAGTTTTCAGAATTTCAGTTTCTGAACAGCTTTAAAGTGTTGCCAAGGGAGACGTTTTTACCAACGAATTAAAAAAAACATCACTGGAAGATGGTTAGAGCTTTGTTGAAGATTGGGAGAAGGCGACTTAACTGGCAGGTTCAATCCAGTACTTGTTTAGTGTGGCAACAGATTGCTGAGAATCGAATATGACTGTATAAAGTCGTTGTAAGGATGACATAGAGGTTCAGATTTAACTTCCACTACCTATACCGCTACCATTAACTTTAAGTGACCATTAACCAATCAGATGCGTTTGATATATCCGATTAGCCAATCAGATGCATTTGATATAGTCGATTAGCCAATCAGATACTTGCTAGGCCAGTGAAAGGTAGCGGTTGTGGAAGTCAAATCTGAACCTCTCTTTTCTCGCATCCTTGCATGCATGCGCATGCATGCAGTTGGATGTGTTGAGCTTTTCTAATCATGCTTACTGTTCATTATTGTTGATTTGCAATCCCATCAAATCTTTGTACCGAGTAGAAAAAACCATACGACTTGTATAAGCTTAAAATCACCATCCCTGTAACACCTGAACATTTAGGTATATGTGAAATTGTGGGGTTTTTTCAGCGTATTAATTTTATTGTGCTTGCAAATGTGGACGTTATCGTCGAAAGCATTTAGTATATATAAACATTTCTTTGTAGGAAATGGAAAACAGTCGCCTTTTCCGCTTGCTGTGCAAGATGGGAGGTATTAATGAACGGCCAGAGTAAGTACATGCTGTTTGATATTTGTCTGGAATATTTATATTTGCTTGGATCCGTTTCATTTTATACACCCTGCTTAATGCTCTCGGCGAAACACTTAGATGTAAAATACAGAAATTACAGAACGGAGCGGCAACAGCCGGCAAGGGCGATCACGAGGTCTAGCTATGATATACCAGTGCGAGTATATGTACTTTTACATACTTTCCGCTGGCATAACCTTTCTTTAAGACGTAAAAAGGCTAAAAATTTTGTCTAATTTTTAAAACACTGAAAGGAAATACGCCTTCTTATTTACAAGATTTCTTTTCAATTCGCGACACAAGGTACAATCTAAGGAATTTTGAAATGAGTTTGAATTTGCCCAAGCCATGATTGAACAAATTATTAAAATGTTATAGTGGGGCGCTTTTGTGGAATAGTCTTCCTCAAGATATACGAAAGCTCCAATCGATATCACAGTTTAAGAAAGCTATAAATGAGTACTATATATAATAATTTAAACGCGAAATCCCACACGCGACAATCTTGTAAACCAGTAGTAGACTTAATTAATTAGTTCAGATTTTTTTGTTACTGTATATATGTTTGTTAGAATATCTATATACTGAAGATTTCACCGTGTTTAAGTAAATTTTAATAGTTTTGTTTGTGGAAACACCACGTAAATTTATTACTGCAAAGCTTTCGATCCGTAAGCCCGGATCTTCATCAGTGCTAATATTACAAAACTATTATATTTTATCACCATGCAAACATACAAAGAACTTATAAATAAATTTTATTGTGTTGTTTTATTGTTGTTGTATTGAATCTTGCATGTATGTATATTCATGCATGTTCATGTGTTGGAACTTCCATATGGAAAATACTTATAGTTGATAAAATCTAAAACTGTGGAGGTCCTGACCGCGGGCCACAACTGTAGGAAACTACAAAGGTAGTCGCGTGCATAAAACAAGCCATCAAAACGATATTTCGTAATAAACAAGTCTGGATTTCTTGGAATTCCTTGCGTCAGTCATTTCGTTGTACAGAGCTATCCACCGCGCGGGTAACGATTTTTTTAACCTTCGTAAAAATGCCTGAAAACTGTGAAACACAGTCAAGGACCTCACAATAAATATAAGAAACTGTTCAATGTAAAAAGACTAAACTTCAATCTTCCCCATGGTCAATTTTAGAGAGTTTGAAAAAATCGCTATCCGGTGGATATATAGCATGCACTATCTGCATGGCCTTCGTACAACCGACCCATGTAATCTTTTGTTTAGATACAATATGGATCCAAGTTGGTCAGAAACTGGTGATCGATACTTGATCAAACTATTTCGAGATTACTTATTTCATCAAGTGACAGAAACAGGAGAACCTTGGCTTGATATGTCTCACATTGTTTCATCATTGAACAAGGTAAGAAAATTGCACAAATTGAACAATAAAGTTGCCATATATCAGATGTTTGTCTATTTAACCATGTCGCAGCTTACACCCTTCCGTAAAGTACGTCATTTTCGCTATGTAGCCTCGTTGTAGCCAAAATGACGTACTCTCCGGAAGAGTGTATACCATGCACCAACTCAAGGTTTTCTAAAGAACGAAGCAATCGTTGTGAATACAAAACCACATTTATATGAGGCAACAACACAAGGCATCCAGCATACTTCATTTTCACTCATATTTTCTGTTCCTTTTTCACACCCCACCTAATTAAAAAGTTATTCCTATCCATTACCAACCTACTTCTTGCGTCATCGCTGATCAGCCAAGACGAGATCTGAGGATACGTTGTGGGGAAAATTAGAAAACCAGCCCTCACCAAATTAACTTGATCGATTAATCAAGTAATATGTATAAACGACATGCCGTCTAAAGTGGAGGAACCTGCATACATGTGTAGTTATTTGGAATCTTATTTTAAAAAATAATTTGCAATGTCATGTTAGGAATTTAGTTAACTTGCTTAGTATAGTTAACTTACTTTACCTATAAAGTCACTTTGCGTTTTAACCTAAATAGTAAATATCGTATACACTTCAATTATAATTTTAGTGTGCTCTTTTGCGCGATGGGGAGTGGTGTCGTGACAGGTTAATTTTGCTGCATATATAGTAACTATTGCATGGTTTACACTTCACGTATTATCATTTTTTCTAGCTTGATTCTGGATCTCCGGAAAAGATTTGTTTAATATCACGAGATGAGCAGAGTGTTCTGGTTGTGTCTTACCGTGATCTCAAGGAGTGCTTTGATGGTGCGTTTAAGGAATTAACATCATCAAGCTAACGCTTAAAACAACCACAACAAGTCAAATGTTTGATCATCATTCTTGTGTAAATATATCTTGTACAGACACCTAGAGCTTTAGAGAATATTAGATAATTTTCTAGAAGTGTATATTTGTAGGAATTTCGAAATTTTAGTTAAGTGATTGTCATGAATAAATGACAAACGCTCGTTAGCTATATATATATTTATATTCTCAGTCCAATTCAGACACCACGCTTCACATAAGCTGCCTGCCTTGTATTTATAGCAATTAGAAAAAATAGTTGCTTCTCTGAAACTTT